GAGAGTCCCTGTAATGAGGATCCTAGAAACCCTCACAGGAAGGGACTCCTCAATTTGAAAGCTCGCAGGCTTGTTGCAGGTCGAAAGTGCTTGTCCTTTCGATGTGTCACCGGGTAACCTTCCGGGCTCTCGCTGTGTGTTTCCTTGTGGCATGTGGGCGTCAATGCTCCACGCTGACAGGATGCTGAGTTGTGCATCCTTGGACGCACCCTCTGCAACGTCAAGGCTGGTTCGGCAGCACGCTTAGTGGCTTTTCGTGATGGGTCTAGTGTGGACTAACTCTCATACTGTAGTTGACACAGGCACTTGAATTGCATGGGTGTAGTGCATCTTACGGGTCAACCTAGACACCGACATGCGTGCTTTTGCCTTGATACAAGGACATTAACAGGTTTCTTAACTCGAGAAGCCTTCATGTGAGCCTGCAAATGTTAGAGAAAACGTCTCCAGTGTGGGTCCACTTTTGCACACCTTAACAGTGGCTTCCTTCCATGGTGGAATAGTGGCTGAGGGAATCACAATTTCTCCAAGTTAGCATCCGATATGGGTATTTCTGTCAAACTATCATTCATGCAATCCTTGAGGGACCCTCGGCATTCCAATGTATAAGCCTGACGTCATTCAGCAGATGGGTGATGAACCCTAACCCTAAAATCTAAACTCATAACCCTAAGCCCTAGACCCTGACACAAAACCCTCAATCCTAAACAACCTAGACCCTAAACGGCTAAGGAACTCCACATTCGCTACCGCCAGTTCGCCTCGGCGCAGGCCACCCCGGGAATAAGCCCTCCGGAGCAAATCAGACGCCCACTTCCCTTGAACTGGCCTCTGGTTAGCTGGGAATGAAGAAATGGAAAAGAAAATGGAAACTGCTCAGGGTGTAGAGTTTAGGCTTTTGAAGTCATGGACAACAATATGGAAACTACTTAGGGTTTACGGTTTAGAAGGAACTGAAGAGAAAATGGAACTATTATAAATGGTTATATAGGGATTACTATACGGATCCATTCACTTCCCCGAAAGAGCAGACATTCCCCACATATAATGACCCCCCAAAAAATGCGGCAATTGCTTGCTATTGTCGTCGCGCAGGTTCCTGCAGAGCCGTGTCAGTGTTGTTTTCTCCTTTTGGGTTGTGATTTCATCTACTCCCGCTTTTGGCATTTGGTTTTTTGAGGGAAGGGGGCTGACCAACACTCAGGAAGGGAATGAACGGAGCTTCAGGCCGGGTGTGTTGTTTCATTGGCAATTGCAATGACTATAGTAGGTGCCCTTACACCAAAACCTTTTCTTTGGAGAAGCAGCTTTAAACAAAGTCTACAAAAGAAATCGGCGTCGAGCGTACTTTCAGCTTTCCTTTTCAAGCTTGGTTCTTCTGCGACGCTTCATCGCGAGCTCCGGAGGCAGCTTCGTTAGGCAACGGTCCTGCGAGAAGAAATTGCTTCCACCATCTCCAGCAGGGGTGCGCGTCGTGAATGCCCGCGTGTTTGCTGAGCCGTGATGAGCCGCGTGAACTTTTCGACCTGGCTTAATTCTGAAAGGGCTTTTTCATAAGCACATCTGAAGTTTAATGAGCTATGGCGTACAAAAAAAATCCAAATATATATGTATATATATATATATCTGCAAGATAAGGCAGTTCCATTTCCGTTAATTGGGGGTCAGGAATTCATGAAAAAGAGCATGTTTGACCTTTCCAAAACATACCCCAACACATACCCCAACACATGCACCGACACGTGCGCCAATATACCTGGATATGTGCCTCGATGCATACCCCATCATACCCCTGGAGCATCCTTTACGTCAAGAGCCCGGTACTGCAAAACATATTTCGAAACACGCCCCAACGCATACCACCGCAACATACACCAATCCAAACACGTTTTTTCTGACTACGGCTTAGCCGGAAACACCCATGACACGAAAATGAAGTGGCAAATCCTGGTATGAGGCCAGAGGCTTTTCGTCGCTAGGCTGTGCCGAATCTGCCGAAATGCAGCCTCCATGCTGCGTGACACAAAGTAGATGCCGGTAGGAGTCGGAACACAGCACAGGTCCAGGGCTAGAGCATTGTGGTTGAGTCGCTTGGCGTCCGATGCCTTCAGGCACAAAGGTGTGGTCCACTTTTTGTGGACCATCCGGCAAGCATTGCGCTCTCGTTACAATGCGTGGCAACAGCAAAGGCTGCAAGGGAACATTCCCGTGCCCCGCCAAACCCGCGTCAGCTTTTACCTTTTCAAAGTGCAGCCGGTGCCCCCGGAACAGTTTCGACTCCATTTTGTGGAAATTGCTTGGATTACGGCTAGCAATGCTGCTTACAGAACAAAAGGGCTAGCCTAACAAGTCTAGAACGCGTTGCAAAGTGGAACCGTCGATGCGCTTCTGGCTGGCTTGTGAGGCATTCTTTGCCACGTATGGCTTTGTGGAAGATGCCGAGAAGGTTTTGCCAACAGAATTGAGGCAACTGTGCAATTCTTGAAGCGAATTCCCTTGTAGCTTACTGGCTTAGCTTCTGGAAAAGAATGTACGAATAGCGTTACAGGAATTGATGCTGTAGGGATTCCAGTAATGGTCATCTCTTCCATATTTGCTTGTCCTCCATTATGCTTGGACATGCGAATTGCAGGTTTGCGGTGAATGGTGCAGGCCGAGCAGGGATGGGTCTGGGTGACCAAGTTTGGAGCACAAGCGGGCGTCTGCCGAACTCATGTTACTGGTCAAATGGGGAGGTGGGGGCATGCAGATTGTTGCTTTCATCCGGGGTTGGACCAACAATTGTGTAGAGAACATCACATGGATTCGCTTCCCCACTCTGCTTTAAACACCAGGAAGCAGAAGTCCGATTTTGTGGCAGGCCCACCGCCTGTTTTGACCGTTGCGTCTACGATGTCGTTGAGGAAGCTCCTGTCCTGTTACAGGCTCGAGGCAGGATGGGAGTGTAGCGTCTAAGCTTTTAGGTGACGAGTTTCGGGGCGACTGTATGGTTTGGGATCTACAGTCAAAGTTTGTTCAACGTTCTGGGCCTTGCTTTGCTTAGGACCTTGTCAGCAGGGTTAAATTGTTTGGGGACTATGCTGTGGCAACTTCTTGGAATTAGGAGTCCTCTGTATATGGCTCTAAAATGATACGGTTCTGTTCATGTCAGCTCGAATTCCGAGGTAGCACTGGAGGAGGCCCGCTGTGCGCTGTGCGAGCTGCCCAGTCAGCTACTCCAGTTGCCCAACCTTAGAGACAAGAGCCAGGGTAGGGAAGCTACACCTCAGCCAACAAAGCAAGTATTGGTTTCCCGGCCTGCAAAGACTAATGTATTTCGAATAATTTTTTGTATGGGCTTCAGGAGGTGTTTGATGGTTGCAGGTACCAATCTTACCTTAGGACGGCACCTAGTACCTGGTTGCGCACAAAACGGGATCCTGACTTTTGGCAGTACCCATGTGGCGATGGAAGCGGCAACAGCCATGGAGGAGCTCCGGTCCGTCAGCTCCACCAAAATGGACGCAGCACGCTTTCCCCTGCTCAGCCCTCAATGGCAAGCGCTTACAACAAACATGTTCAAAAAATCTGCCAGGAAACGAACATTATGTGACACACAACTGTCGAATGATTCTCTGCGACATTTCCTGGTCCGAGGTCGCTGAGATGCGCCCGCCTTATTTCGAGACTCTGTCCGAGCGTTGAGCTACTCTAGGCAGTCGTTAGATGAGTTTTCCAGCTTTGAAGCAGGCCCATGAAGTGGAAAATGTCACGGAGCATCGATAGCGTCTAGTATTAGTAGGCCTTTCCTTCCCGCGGAATGATGTTTCCAAACGAGCGGAGGGCTGATTTGTCAAGGTCATTCAAGGCGTATTTTGGTTGCTCTAAGGACTCCAGAGATAAATGCTATCATTGGTAGCTGAGCAGTTGGGATGAGGTGAAATGGCCGCTTTCCAGCGCCTGCACGACGAAGTCCGGCAGCGCTCGCTGCTCAGTCTGTCACGCTTGATGCTTTCAACTTACACGAGGATTTCCTTCAATTCGCTATAATACGAATCCCTATAATGGGGTTCCATTCATAATACGCGTACAAATTCACCCCCCCCATTTGGGGAACAGTAACTCAGGCCTAATCCCACATTCCAGCATTTGGATGTTATGGTTCGGTTTCCTTGCCGTCGTCGCCTCGTCTGCCGCAGTTAAAGCAAAGGTCCATGGTATCCCGATGTGATGCGTAGCAGGGCCCATGATTCCTTTGTAGTCTTGGATTTTTGAAGTTGTCAAGGGTTCGCATTGTGAACAACCTGTCCAACATCCTGAACACTCAGGTGTGAAAGACTGTGCGGGACACAAAGATGGCGCCACTTGGCATACGGTTCAGGGTTGAGGTTCTAGGGCATGGATACGTTTGCCGGCTTAACTCTGAACTCACCACAGGTTGATAGCACAGTTCAGCGATTGCGAGCTGCAGATGCAGCAGGATGGGAAAGGCGGGTCATGTGCCAGTGCTGGCCAATGCATCAAAAAACACCATGCCGACGTGTGCGCTAAATGCCAGCTGTTGTGCTGCAATCGTGGAAGTTTTGGTGTGTTCGTTGTTGAACTTGTGATCGACCGGTGCCTTGTGGCTAGCAAAAGCGACCTGGGATTTCGGACAGCTGTGGCTGGATTGCGAGTTTGGTCGTCATCATGAAGGAGCCTTCCTGCCCGAAAGTTAGCCTAGTTTCTGTTTGAGATGAAGGGTTTGCGACATTTACGGTCGAGGCTAGAGGGCTTGATGTGGCAGTGGATGCAAAGAGCGGTTTGTTGCGTCTTTTTGCCTGCTAACCTGACTGTAGCAAGAGCCAATGTAGATATCACGTGGTGTTTTCCATGTCCAGTTGCCCTGAAGAATGGAAAAGCACACGCAAACTAGCAGATCACCTTGGAATTTCCAGTTTATGTTGCATTACCACATTCGAGTTACCATGGCCTTTATCCACTACTAGTCGACAACCTGGGAGTTCATGTTTTAGAATTCAATGCCGAACCTGGCGTGGCTCTGGTCGGAGCCTGCTCAACACACGGTTTAGGTTAGGGCTCAGGGTTTTGGAGGAGCTTATGATCCCCTAGGTTGGGAATCACATGGAAAAGAAAATGCACGAATTAAATCATTTTCGGAGGGTCCTTACGATCACGAGGATCAGAGCATGTGATACTTGGGGAAGCTGAGTTGTTCCTGGGGACCTCCGCGCTGCCCTTTGTATCCCTACGCCCGAAATCCCAGAACCTCAAAACCTAAACCCTAAATCCCTGGACCCTGAACCCTGAACCCTTCACCCCAAATTGTCCTAGCGCATGTCAAAGTCTACCTTCTTTTGTTGAGAAGCTGCACTGAAGGAGGCGCTACTGCCGGCTTCTACGCCGTCCCTCCCCGAACTGGCATGGAACTTCTTTGTGGCCTGTCAGAATTTGCGGGCCACCTTCAAGCTACCTAGAAAGTTCTCCTAGGATTCCTGTAGATCTAAGGGTTTAGGGGCTTAGGGATTGAGGTTAAGGTTTAGGGTTTAGGGAGTACAACCACGCGAGTGTTGAATCCTCGCCGAGGTAGAAGGAAGTCATTCTATGACTCGATCGTAGCCTATGGTTCCTCATAGCAACGATAGCAGTTTGCATTTGCACTTTGTAAATACCTAGATTCTAGATAGATTACAACACCCTTAGACTGACTACTCTGTGCGAGGATACATTTAGGGATCTCGTACAGTCATGAGTGAGTCGCGGGATCTCTTAAAGTCATGAGTCCCCGTTGGGGGTTCCACAATGTTCCACAAAGCAGTGGCTCATTTGACCGTGTCGCTCTTCGGGTATGCTGGACCACGCTAATTTTCAGAAGCGCGCACGGTACCTCAGGTATGCCTAAGAAACCCTAAGTTAAATTCCTGAATCCTGGGCACCGAAGCCTCAACTGTAAGCCCTGAACTCTAAACTAAAAAAATCCAGCCTTCTTAACCTGGAACCTTAAACCCTAAACCTTGAGGGAGCTTTGCCTGACTGTAAATGGAGGGTAAAAGGGGTGTTTAAAAAAAAACCCTTGAACACCAAAGCATCCGGAGCCCCGAGGTCATGGGCACCACAGCCTTTGGAGGCCCACCAGTCCACATCAGCATGTTCAGAGCTCGCTTCGTGGAGAAGCATCTTAGCTCCATAATCTTCCCCACACGGAGGTTGGTACTGTAGGGAATAAAGAATTACTTCAATCATGGAGAACCAAATGGAAAAGAACATTGTGGTCCCTAAAGCGGTTCTAACTCTGAGGGACCATGCGCTCCACTAACTAATCAGGAACAGAGTACATGCAGTGCAAAAACCGATCGCCCCCAAGCGATACCGATCGCCACAAAGTTACTGTCTATTTTGAAGTTGGGGTTTAGGGTAAGTTTAGGGTGCCCTAGATGTTCGGGCCGTATCCTAATGCGGACCCCAAAAGAGATCATGATTTTCACAACACCGCCTTGTGAGCTACTGTCAATATTAGGCTTGCCAAGGGACCATTCAGGGTGGAAATAGGGGTCCTTCCCAGCAGTTAAGCAAATTCCCTAATACACTCTGCAACGAGGAACCACTGTCCAGTGATTTTATGATAAGATATCTTCATCCCTATAAGCCACTGGATAATCATCGTTTCCATTTCAAAAAAAGGCTTCTTCACTATTCCAGTTCATTATCATATGTTGGGTATTGCCCCCGCTGGAACAGTTGGATAGTTTTCGTAATGTAGATTTATAGAGGGCCCTTAATAGGACCGCTAATATAGACTGTTACAGGGTGGGGGCAGTACCCAAATTTCATGAGAAATATTGACTGTAGCTCACATAAGGATTGGTGCCTCACCCTTCCATCTTGATAGTCAAGCCTTATAAGGTCTTATATACCTCCTATATACCCCCATACAAGTCATATAACCCCATATAACCTTTTATAACACCCTTTCAACCCTGTAAGCCCTTTAAAGTGTACCGAACAGCATTGTCTTTTTTGATGGATCCGCAAGAAGACCGACTGCTTAGTCGACCTCCTGTGAAGGGCTTCAATTGAGGGACAAGAGCGTAGGGCCTCTCTATAAACTTGAAGAAGGACAAGTGTGGTTGGGAAATAAGGGGTAGAATCTGGGGAATTGCATCAGGGAATGCTGTGGGAATTCTGAAGCCTTAAACCAAAAACTCCCCCCCCCACCTTTAGGGTGTAGTTTGTTTGCTGAGACACCCCAGAATGATCGCCGCACAAAAAGCTGACTAAGATGTCTTCCTGGAGGTCTCTAGGGAATGGAGGAATGGATGTGCAGGGCTTAGGGTTTAGGGTTAGCCCCTATAGAATCCCCAATGGGAAAGCCATCCCTTCATTGCCTCTTGATAGCTAGCAAGAAAGTTGTTGTAGTATAGAATCCTTCTGCCAGAAGATCTTTTCTTACAATTGTACTGGGTTGCGGCTAGGGGACTTAACTTAGTTTTGAATTACAAAGAAACCATAGCATCTGTTGTATATTTATATATGACGGTAGCTACGTTGAGTTCCTTAGCAATCCAGTCCAGTATGCAGACTTGAAATCGCTTGCAAAGTACCTGGACCTGACTTGCAGATAAGATAGCCTCGTTTCCAATACCTCCACGACTAGTGAGTCTTTCCTGAGTCTTTGCTGGTAGCATCTTGGAGAACATGTAGTAAAGGGGGGAGGGTGCGGTGCTACTTCACATCATCCATAAGTACTGCAAGGCGAGGCGCTCCCAGTTTTCTTGAAATTTCAGAAACTTGATGGCACTGACGAGGAAGGAACAGCAGGACTTGGGGAAACAAGGAAGCCCCCCTTGTTAGGAACCCTAAACCCTAAATGAGCATAGTTTGGGTGGTTGGTGGGACTACTAAGCTGCGCACGCGTGCGATAGGGTGCGCGCCTGTGAACCTAAAGAAAAGGCGCAAACCCCGCGTGCTTGTCCACTGATGCACATCCTAAACCCTAAGCCCCGAGCGCCAAACCCTAAACCCTGAACCCTAAACCCTAAGCCCTAAACCCCAAACCCTAAACCCCAAACCCTAAACCCTAAACCCCAAATCCTGAACTGTTAGGTATGGCTGGCTCTCCAGTGAGCGCTTCGCAGAGCTGTTCGCCATGGCAAACTGCCTTCCCGGGCCCTCCAGCACGCAGGTCCAAATAAGGGTTTAGGGTTTAGGGCTTACATGTGAGTTTATAGCGTTTTATAGGGTTTATAAGGGGTTTATAAGGGTTTCATAAGGGTCATACGGGATTTATGGGTTTTATAGGGCTTTAGAGGGGCTAAATGGTTTTATAGAAATTTTTATAGGGCTATGTGAGTCTTTTATAGGCATGATATGGGTTTTTGTAAGGGGTTTATAGGAAGTCATAGGGGTCTTAGAGGGGCTTTTAGGGATTTTCTGGGGGTTTCCCTAATTTGGGGTCCCTATACTCAGGACTGTAGCATTTTGGGCTCTAGGTTAGCTCCCCATTGAACGGATTTTGCCATGTCAATGTAGGATAATGTAGGTAAATAAAGAATATGAACCTTTTTGGGGTACATTATGTTGAAATCGTATACGTAAGAAAAACTCATACCCTTCGGTAATTATCCAGGCTTTTGCATTACCACTGCTGTTAGCCTGGTATATGATCATGTCTATCATGACAATTATGGGTATGTAGTGTTGTGGTCATCCACGGTATAATGCAAGTTCATTAGGCTTCACCAAGCGTACTCTAGGAGAGATTTTCAAAGCCACGTCCATAGAATCCAGTAACGTTCAGGCTTAAGGCATCCGTCAATCTTCAAGACTTACTGGTAGTAGGCAGGACAGAAAATGCAAATGGCTAGTACCATACTAGGGGTTCTACCCTAAAACCCTAAACACTAAATCCCAAACCCTTAACCCTAAAGCCTATGAGATCCATTCCTCTAGTCCAGACTTGGCAGTAAGACTCTAAGATCCGGATGTGGCGACTGTCTTCACCTCAATGGGTTTAGGCTTTAGGGTAGTTTAGGGTTCAGGGTTTAGGGTACATCTGAAGCCATAGCATCCAGGTGGCCTACGCCATCGGCATCACTCAAGGCCTCTCTACATGCATTTGTACATTGCTGAACAATTTTTCTCATTTGCATGCAGGGTGTTTGATCTTGCCCTCGTTTCGGGTCCCCGGGTGCAGGAGGAATGAAAAAGGGGACACGATTGTATGATTGAGTGATTAATTGAGACTCATATAGTGACGCGTCCCTTTGGCATATGCCTCAAAAGTGCAAGGGTTGAGCAGAGTTCTGGTCCTTACCCTTAAGTGGCTTGCAAAGACTGTGGTGGTCCTCTGGAAGAACAAGCTCCTAAAATTCTTGCAGCATTCCCTCTTTCGGGTGAAGTAAATACTACGTAGGGGCTGTACTATACAAACGGTCCCAACCTTGTCCCTAGACCCTGAACCCATTGTGTTTCTCCACCAGGAGGAGTTTTGGGGGGCTTGATAGCTGGCTTCTGCTTCGTCATTCCCGGCGCGACACCTGACAGAATTCATGAGGGGCTTAGGGTCTAGGGTTTAGGGGGATTGACTAGTTACCATATTCCCTACATGACGATCGTACAGGATATCCTAAGACGCTATTCTACTTATGTTAGCCACGGCAGTACGTGAAAGCCCCAAGAGTCCGCCCCAATATTGCCCGTGCTGAAGCGCCGGATGTCCCGCTAAACCCCATCTCCAGACTGAAAACCAAAAGCCACAAATCCCAAAACCGAAAGGTCTTCCACTTCTGTGTATAGAGATGAATGTTGGAAAGTAACTAGTCTGTGCAGTTGTCTTGGGCGCGCACGGTTCCATGATGAAGGCTTCCGCTGTGACGCTGGATAGCTTACCGTAACAGTGGGTCAACCTGCAGTTCTATTTCTTCGGAGGTTTTGTAGCGTTCCATCGGAATAGTCGGAAAAGGGTGAGCTAAAAAGTCCCCACACCCTTAAACCTTAAACCCCCAAACCCCAAACCCCAAAACCCTGAAGCCTAAACCCTAAACCCCAAAACTGTAAACTCCCCCCTGCACATGGCTTCTTCAAGGATCTTGCTCTCACTGTTGGGCTTTGTGGCCAGCTCAGTCAAGCCAAAGCTTTTGTGAACTTAGTCTTTTGTCTGGTGCATAATGCTGTTGTATGTTGTAGGGGTCTAAGAACGGGGTTCTGTAGGGATTATTTGAGGGTTGTACAGGATTTTAGGGCCCAATGCGATTTTTGGTTAGGAATTTAGGAGGTTGTCAGTGCTGAGTGAGAACACCTTTTCCCAGCTAGGGCCCCAGATTAGGATTTAGGGTTTAGAACTTAGTTTTCGAATAAGGTGGTACAGGATGGCCCCCAGCAATGGTATGATGGATTCTGTCTCATTGGGGCCTATACGTGGATGCCTCTAGGGACCGGGCAAGAAGAGCCTATTGTTCCGACCGGCTGCATGACCTTATTGAGAGACCTCTAGAGCATTCAGGACTGCTCGCTCTTGGATATTCCAAATTGCGGTATGATCCCAGCCGCAATATAGGGAATTCCCACGAGGGACCAAAAGAAGCACCCTAGAGCTTTTTTTTTTGTTTCCCAGCCCCCCCAAATGAAGGCCCTGGGTTTAGGGTTTTGGGTGCTGGGCACCCTCAACCCCCAAAAATGAAGGCCCTATGGCTGTCAGCAGTCCCGACTATAGTACTACAGGGTTGGGGTGCCCAAGCTCTTAAACAGAAACCCTAAACCCTAAACCCCGTCTTTTACCAAGGTGTCCCAGACCCTGTCGGAGCAGATTGAAGAGCCTGCCTCGCCGGCAAACGCGGTGGCACCTGGATTGCCTGAGGGGGGGACCCTACTTGAGCAAGTGTCTAAACTCCTTAACCGGGTTTATATGGGAGGATTATATAGAGGACTTCTGTAGGGCTCACTTGAAGGGCCAGGGGGACTTGGTAAGTATGCAGGATTTAGGGGCGTATGTTCAGGAGGACTTAGTAAGTATACTTGAAGCCCCTGCAAGCAATACCTGCCAAGCAATGCTCCTTGAAACCCAACTTACTAAACCCGCTTGATCCTTGAAGTAGGGACTTCGGTTTAGGGTTTAGGGGGTTCGGGGTGAAGGTTTATGCCCCCTGTCCCTTGAATCGTAGGATTAGAGTATTCTTTCAGACCTTAAGTGGTGCAAGCTTCCCTCCAACAGCATGCAGGCCTCGCCTTCAGGATATTTGAAGAGCATGTTATCTTGAGTTGGATAGCAAGGCCCAAGTTGCAAATCCATCCAAGGAGTTTGATTATGACCTGGGGTTAGAAGGCTCGGGCCGTGTCTTCATGCAACACCTTACTTACTGGGATGAGGGAATATCTTATCTCGGAATTCGATAGGATATATATATATGTATATATATGTATTCCCATATTCCCTACCAACCCCCAGTAAGTTACGGGTTTAGGGTTGAGGATTTACGGCGCGCATGTCTCACTATGAGGCCATTGCCTGCAGCGCTGTGGGAGTTGCGTGCTCCCGGCCGCAAAAGTCCTGGATGCCATAACCTCACACCTAATGGGCTAGCAGTCAAAGGCGTTTTAAAGTTGATTACAAGAAATAGGGATTACCCCTGAGAGGTCTGACAGACAGTTCTTTCGTTGGGTGATATAGAGTGGGAAAGTTATCAAATCTTTGTTTTGCAGTCTTGCGTCCTGGTGGTTAGTAGAGAAGAGGGAAGGAAGATTGCCGTATAATCCATGTAGAATATATTCCCCTTAAAACCTTATTACCTACTACATCTAGTACCCCCTCAAAACCCTAAACCCTAGGCCCTAAACCCGAAACCCTGAACCCTAAATCCTAACCGTAACCCTGAACCTTAAACCCCCTCCAAGCCTGAGGCTTGTGTTTGTGGCGATCACTGGTCTCATCAAGAAGCAGGTTTTTGAAGCCGGCAACACAACCATCCTTGGTGGAGTCTTTAGGTGGCATTTCGGGGTTTAGGGTTTAGGGTTCAGTTAGCGTTGGGTTTAGGGAGCATTGTTGCTGCTGCTGCAGCTGCTATTACTGTCGCTGCTGCCACTGCTGCTACTACTATTATTACTATTATTATTAGTACTACTAGTATTAGTACTACTACTACTACTACTACTACTTCTACTACTACTACTACTACTACTACAGCAAATCGCGATGGACTTCAGGCCCGACATGTGCATTTCGGTGAACCGGAGTTTTCAAAGTTATCATAAGGGTCACACGACTTGCGCTGCCCAACAAAAAGTGATGCAGAGCGGTCCTGGTATTGGAGATTTAGGATATGGAACCTTCCATCAATTTCATTTTGTACCCAGTCAATGTTTTGAAGAGTAGTAAGTAGCAGCTACTACCTATTATTTTCGTTATGCTTATTACACCGCTGATGATTAGGATCCCACATGCATTGGCAGTACCATTACCATTACTGCTCGGGCCCTAACGCACCTGAAAACCTAGGCTTAAAACCCCAAACCTTAAATCCTAAGCCCGGCACCCGACATCCTAAGCCTTAAACCCTCAACCTTAAATCCAAAGCCCTAGCTAGCTCAAGTGTAAGCCAACCTCAAGAGCAAACTGATTTGACTTTCCCGCTCTTAAATGGAGCCAGGATTCCGTCGCTGACACGCGTAGCATCTCAGAACCTTGAATCCGAATCCCAAAATCTTAGCTCAAAAAACTTGATTCCAAGCCCTAAACTCCACACATTCAAAACCTGAAGCCGAACACCCTAAACCCAACACCTCAAATCCCAAGCCCAAAGCCTCAAATCCCCAAACTCAAAAGCTCTGAGATTTGCTTCTTCACTGGAGCCATCTGCCTGCTGGTGCACCCGGCCCCTGCTTGGCTGAATCCGACCTTGATCTTCCTTGGTGGCCTAACCACCATCATCTATCCCGCTTCTAGGTTTACACACAGGGGTTGAATACGGACGTATAAATATGATAAATTGCATACATATGAGTAACTGACAAAATGTCCAACCATTAGATCATGTCGCTTATGACGCGTCAAATCGCCATTCTTGTGAAAAGGTGAAAATGCTGAAAAACTATAGACGAGACAATTTCAAAAACGATAGCCCCAAGCCAATGTCCAGTAGGCAGGTATGGAATTTCGACAATAGCTCATATAGACGTAATATAGAGGGGTTGAATAGGGGTCATGTCCAGGGTGAGGCACGGTCGCCGGTGGCGCCCACCCCCCCCCGGCACCCTTGAATGGAGAAATGAGCCCTCAATGATGCTTATGAAGCTGGTGCAGTTGGCCGGCAACATCAGCATCATTGGGACTCCGTTTCTCCAACACGAGTTCTTCCGGCACCTTCTCAAAACTTGAAAATCTGCTGGCCCGGCTTGGATGGACTTTGGGGCTAGTCTCCAAAGACCTTCGTGCTCATGATGTTTTTTGGGGGTTCTCGGGGACCCCAAAAAACCTTGCAAACTCCATCCGTACCGGGTGGATTCGCTTCAAAAGCGCATGTGAATTTTGGCTTGTTTTGGAGTGGGGTCCGGGGTTTCTTGGAGAAACGCAGGTCCAGTGATGCAGGTCGGCGGGACTGGCGTCCGGCCCTTGGCGAAGCCAGGCTATGGCCTGCCTGCGGCAGCAACCCTAAGGCGTCGTCCAATTTACTAAAGGCTAATGCCCGCAACGCGCTGCAGCTGCCGATCCTGGAAATGGGACCAACAAAAAGAGCCCTTCATATAATTTGCAGCGAATTTCGGCAGGCAGGAGAGGCGGGGCGGAGGGAACAAATATGAAACGGAGGGTAAAGAGAGAAAGGAGAGTGCTGGGAATGCACTCCGAATTCAACAATCACACAAGAACTTTTCTGCATAGACATGAGATTCTGCACAAATTTTGGGCCTGCGTGGACATTGAGGCGAACAAAAATCCGACCTTCCGTCTGCTCGAATCACCAAGAAGTTCAGTTTGTGGCGGCAGAGAAAAGGGCAGCGGGTAGCGTCAAAAGCTTGCGATCCAGGCTGCCGATGAGTTGGGCCCGCTGCAGGAGGCTGGAGTCTGACCGCGTGTATGTTTGATCCGTAACGTGGCATTCCAGCTGGCAGACGTTTGCTATCATGACCATGCGTTTTTGTGTGTTTGTGCAACTGTAGTTTTCAAGAAGACTTGAAGCTGAGAGGAACAAGTGGAACACAAGTTCGTGCGACTCCCGTCCGTGGGGACGTGGCTGACGCATCGGCGGCTGAAGCCTTTGAATGACTTCAGCACGAAGCTTTTTCGTATAAGGAATAATATTTGCAAGGGTAGTTGCTGACCCTTGTGGCCCAGGTGCCCGCTGCCGCATTCTTGATGACTTCTAGTGCATCAAGAAAGTCCTCAAGGCAGCCGCCGCTCCATTCACTCGTTTCGTTCATGTTGCCCCTGTTTTTGGAGCTGGTGTCTGACTGATGCATCCGCTCTTTGGAGGACTGTTCGGACCAATTTTTGTCCAAAGCCAATTTGTTGTGGTTTCGGAACACCAAATTTTGACTCCGGAGCACGTTTTCTGAGCCCCACACTTGCATCCAGAGCTAGTTTCTGGGCTTCGGCCCCCAAAGGCCCCGCATTTGTCCGCTCATTTGCGAGTAAAAGAATCGTGGTTTTTGAGCTCTCATATGCTCCAAAGTACAGCCGAATAAAAGAACGGCTCCCAAATATCTCCAAATTTGGAGTCCGGGGCCAGTGTTGGGGTTTCAGAACTCCAAAATTTTGGCTCCGGAGCCGCCTACGTGCAAGGTGCCAGAACTGCAGTCCACAAGTGAAAGCACGGCGCGTGGCAAGTCATCAAGGCCACTTTGCTGAATGCACGCATGCTGGTTCGGCGCTGTTGTTTGACCAAGGAGCTGTGACTCAGGCCGACGGTGTGTCCAACAGACGAGGACAAGGACCAATTTGAACTGGATAGATCTGCCTGGCACCTAGCCAACGTTGCCAAGCTTGGGATCACGAAGCCAAGTAAAGTATGAGCTGCAACGGCTTCTTATGCAGTGGTTTTACTGGTAGCTGTTAAGATGTACGACCTTCACCCGTCTTCGCCAAAAACCCACTTGTGTTGCAGTTGACGTGGTATACGTACAGTATACGATGTACCAGGTTTTGCACTGTAGAAGGCATGTTGCATTCAGTATAGTGACTATACTCTCTATGTTAAAATCTCAAACCCTGCCTGTGCCCATTCGTTCCACCTGAGGAGGCGGTGGCCCTTGAGAGGGCGTTGGCGCAGGCAGAGACAGTGTGGAGCATCTATATCATGCTTGTGGTTTGCTTTACTTGCTGCATAGTGAGTATTTGCCCCTCGTCAGACCCGAGGCCCAATCTCTCAACATTTTGAAAGGCCTCGGCCCTAAAGGCGTGAACTTCCCCCTTATGTCCTAAAATTTGAAGGCAAACAACTCTAAATCCACAACCCTATACCCAAACCTTTATAAACCCTGAGCCATGAGCAGGTGCAACTGTGGCGCAGCAACCTCGGAGACGGCAGCTTCAAGCCTGATCCTCAGAAGGCGAACTCCACAAACATTCGAGCATGGCCATGCCTTGATCCGAGCGGGATGCGACGGATGGTGGGTGTGGGGAGGAGTGGAAAGGGTTCGTGCGTGGCGATTGGCTAAGGCGCGAGGGCTTCCTCGGCAGGGGCGCATGGGGCGAGGTGATCGCCGTCGCCGTCGGGCGCAGGGACCTCTGCCACCATGTCTTTGTTGGCGCTGCTCCTTTTTGTCAGTGTATGCTTTTGGTACTATGGTTGGGGTAACTGAGCTGTTGTCGCATGACTCAGGTAAGCCTCAGCGCTATGCGCTGAAGCGCCAGAACAAGCAATATCTCGTGAAGGCCAGGGTGCTCAGCATGGTTGGGGGCTCTTATGTGCAAATGGTTTGGGGTTCATATATGCATGCATATTAGGGTTCATACGTATGTGCACACGATTGCCATTACAGGTCGGCCCACGCGCGGTCCCAAACCCCGAATTCCTTCTCCTTAAACAGCCCTAAACCTTCTTAGCCCAAACCACAACCCCAAACCCCAAACCTTGAACCGTCAGCCCAAACCCCAAATTCTGGACCCCAAACCCAACCCCTAAACCCGAAACCGTCCCTAAACCTAAACACCGAGCCCTCAACCCAAACCCCGACCCCATATTCCAAAAGCTAGCCGAAAGCCCTAAATCGTAGACCTGAATCCTCCAGCCAAACCCCAACCCAAAACCCGCAACCTTAAACCCCATACGCGCGGGCGGCGCACTTGCTCGAGCGCGAGATGCAGGTGCAGATGATGTTAGAGCTTCAAAGCTGTGACAGGGAACTTGGCTGTAAACCATTACCACGTCCTCAAAGAATCGCGAAGACTTGCCAAGGGCTGACAGCCCCTTTGTCATCCGTTGGAGGCTAAGCGGCTGAATGCAACTTTGGCAAGAGCATGACTTCTCCAATTCTTTGCCTTGCATGCCTGTAAACCGGCAGTCATCTCCATGATCTTGTCATGCCTTCTGATTTAGGCTTTTCCCGAGGGTTGCTTGGCCTGCGCCACGACGAGAGGCATGCTCTTTGGATGCATCCAGTGTCTAAGTTTGTGGTCTCAGCTTGCAGAGTTACTTGGTCTAACGGTTTCTCCCCGCAGGTCCACCTGCTGCTCGAGCTGGCCACGGAGGGATCGCTGCACCGGCTCTTGGTGACTCAGGCTCTTGGGATATAGCCTGCTTATGCTACCAGAATACTTTATGGGGTTGGCACGGCTACTAGGCAAATTCGAATGCCGCGCCTGGGAAGAGTGGCGCCTGTGACCTGCGCCCTGGTCCTGGCCCTGATGTTTTATTAGAGGTGGACTTGGGGCTGGTTGCAAATGACGGGTTGGATCGGGAAAATGGGGACAAAGGCTCCACTGTGCACTCGCACCCTGGGGCCGGGGTCGGCGGATATACAGTTGGGCTTACGGATGTTATCCATAAAAAAAAGAATCAAATGGAAAAGAAAATGGCCAATGAAATGGAAACTGGAGTTAGGTTGGCTCACCGGTCTTTGCGGCTAGGGCGAAAATACTCTACGTAAATTATTGCCAAATATCATCGTATAGTTTCGTATACGAAGTAGTATGCGTGTATGTGTGTAATATGTATATATGTACACATATCCTGCGCTGGGCTTCTCACAGTTGAGGGCTCAAGGCTTGCGGGGCCTTTGGGGGCTTTTATAATGTTAGTATAGTTGAAGGGCAAGCAGGTGTTGGGCTTTGGATTTCAGGAACTAGGAACTAGGAATGGCGGGTTGCAGCAGGAACTTATTGTCAGAATTTCCTTCCCCCAAGCTAGCATGGGGAAAGATTTTTTCAAAAGGACGACAGTCTACAAGGGATCCCGTTTCAATGTTTATGGGGAGCTCTAGACCCTAAATTCTGAACCCTACGCCCCCAAGCCTTAGTCCCCAACCCCCAACCCCAAACCCCAAACCCCAAGCTTAAAACTTTGAATTTGAAACCGGATTTATTCGAGGCCTCGCCAGACGCTGAAGTGAAACATGCCCAAGATACTGGAAAGTCAGGCCAGTGTTTGTGGTATTGGGGGGTTATAAGACTGTGGGGGGATCTAGAGGAATATATTGGGACCTATAGGGATACATTGGGACATATAAGGATATGTACAAGGATGTACCAGGATGTGTAGCGATATGCAAGGCATTATAAGCCTATTCATAGTCCCATCAAATGGCTTAACAGGGAGGGGCCCTTAAGAATGTGAGAGAGTTAGATCTTGTGCATATACGGTTGACATTACAGAATCCTGCGTGACGCTAAGTGGCTGCTTTTTCGTCATCAACAGCAGTGTATGAAGAGCTCATGAAATAATAGTTTACCTGGTTAGCCGTTCCGGATCGTGATCCAAGAAACCTGTTGATGCTTTGTTGTTGGGTTATCCTTCCACCTCAGCCCTTCCCTCATCTACAGAAAAGGATTTCATCATTTATTCCTTTTCCGGAAAAGCCTGAGTATTGCAGGGGCCCAAAATGATTACCAATGTTGTGGTTATGTCGAATAGACGTCAATGTGATGTTTGTATTTGTTCAGGCTCCTGCTATCCCTATTGACTTTTATCCAGTCCAGCTTCCATTTCATGTTCCATGGTTTTTCCATTTGATTCTTCCTTATTATTGGGGTCGTATTCCCCCATATAAGTCCCCCATGTAACTTCATATATACCTCATAAACCTATATGAGCCCTATGGGTGCACTGAAGGTTTGCTTGCATTGTCAGGTATGCCTGTAGCCTTGGCCGTGGGGATCTTTTTGTTGTGCCGCGGCTGGAAATTGTGAGGTTTAGGGACACAGGGGGCGGTTAAGGAATTTAACGGGATATAAAGGGATTGCAAGGCTATTCTTCGCATGCCTATAAAGTACTATAAAGGATTCTACAGGGTAGTGTTGGGAATCTCAAAGTTCATGGTTGTGGTACGGATCATCATTTGTCCGTGTTCACATCGCTTTTTGAGGGACGTGCATGCACATTCCTTCGTTGTTCCCAGCCCTTTACCCTGCATGCCCTCCGAGTAACACGTTCCCAGCATTGATATTCCTACGACACTATACTATACCCATAGAGAGGGTGCTCTATTTGATTTCCAGCCCTAAACCCTAAACTGGTGGCTGTGGTCGCAGTGAGCTGAGACTTTGGAACAAATGTGGACCCTGAGGCTTAAAACCTAAACCTATAAACCGTAAACCTTTGCACCCCCGCCCCAAACCCTAAGCCCTCAACCCCAAATTCTAAATCCTAAGCCCAAACCCTGAACCCCAAACCTAAGCCAGCAAGGTATCTGGCAGTGGCCTCCTTCACCATCTGGCGGGATACCTTCGATCATGGTTGGGTCATGCCTTTCCTGACCGCAGGCCTGGCCATGATCGTTCCAAAGCAAAGTGTTTAGGGTCCAGGGGGTTAGGCTTTAGGGTTTAGGGGGTTCAGGGGTTGGGCGGGGTTTAGGGAGTTTTGGAATTTAGGTGGCTTAGGGGTTTTAGAGTTCAGGGTTTTAGGGTTTGGGATTTAGGGTGCATAGCACATTTGTAGCAGGAGCATCTTTGGGCCTTTGTAGGCGGTATTAAGGGGGATAGCAGGAGTTTAGACTAGCTCAAAAGTTGATGTGCCAAATCTTGGAGGCATGTTTGGCACCCTAAGCCCTAAACTTTAAATCCCATTGGAGGCATGTTTGTGTGGGGTGGAGGGCCGGTGGTGCTCCCCATGTTGATGACCTTCCTGACACCGAGCTGGATTTCCCCCACGATCTTCTTGGCTGGCATCTCTTTCGCCGAGATGATGCCAGGTCCTGTCTTCAACATCTCGTGCACCTTGTATGCTGTTTAGGGTTTGGGCTTCAGGGTTTAGGCTTTAGGGGTTAAGGTTTAGGGATTAGGGTGTAGAGCTCTATTACCTTTTCGCGGCCAGCGATCCTCATGCCCATACAGGCACTTGGAGGATCAAGGGGGTGTAGTAAGTAGGCTAAAAGCCCCTATAAGCCATGTAATAACCCCAGCTATGCCCTACTTCCTTAGTCCCTCATACGAACCTCCAAGGGGTAGTTTCTCAAAATAAGGGGACCCCAATATAGACCCCAAAATACTATAATCCTTATTATGGGGACCCCCAATAGGGTACCCCTAATTTTGGGAACCCCCCAACCCCAAGTAGCTCTTGCGATAAGGTGCCCTAAAAGTACCCAAGCTGGGCCTACCGGTCGCTTCAGGTTTCAGGGCTTGGAGTTTAGGGTTCAGGGATTAGGTTATAGGGTTTAGGGTTTAGGGTTTAGGTTGAAAAGGGTTTAGGGTTTAGGGTTTAGGGTTCAGGGATTAGGGTATAGGGTTTGAATCTGATGCCCAGGCCAAAAGCTTTGGGAGCCCCAGCACGGCAGTTCCTGTACAAGCCTGGGTACTTACCAAGATTATAGAGCTCGTGTGTTTATGTCTAAGGTGGTGTAAAATTCATTACAATAATGGTACTAGCAATACTTATGGCTGAAAAGAGAGAAGCCTAGATGGGTTGGGCCTGTGCAGACCGAAAGTTCAAGTAAGTCATAGAAGAGAGATACCCCAAACCCTAAACCCGTGGCTATCACACGTGAATAGACATCCTATCCTCAGCTTACAGTTGATTCAAGCGGAGGGTGGAGGGAAGATCAGCCCAAGTATAGAGGCTGAGGAGGTTGTATAGCATTTGTTCCAGGAATTCACCCCCTCCACTTTCCCTGAAGCCTATGACTGACTACATAGCCTCTGTTTTGATTTAATTTTCCGTCCTCTTTTCCATTTGCTATTCCATCATTCCTTGTTGCACATCCCTCTGTGACCTTTATGTTAGGTAGAGTCTAAGCCCCATGAAGGCGGTTTTTCGGGGAATTATATAGGGCAGTATTGTAGGGGTTATTAAGGGGAAATACTAGGAGATTAGACTATGGCTCATATAATCCCATTTGCAATTTTCCAACCCAAAACCCAAAACCCAAAACCCTAACTAAACATTAAAGCCTAAACTAAACATTAAAACCCAAAACCTTAAACCCTAACTAAACATTAAACCCTAGCTAAACATTAAAGCCTAAACTAAACATTAAAACCTAAACCCTAACCCCCAACTAAACGTTAAAACCTAAACCCTAACTAAACATTAAAACCAAAACCCTAAACCCTAAACATTAAACCTAAACTCTAAACCTTAGACCCTAAACCCTAAACCCATAGGGACTTCTCATCCTGAGGTTTCCTTGGCATCCAGCTGGCTCTGAACAGCGGGGTCTACTGGCTCTACGGCATCGCCTTGTGTTGGGCAGGCGCTGAGCATTTTAGGGTTTAGGGTCTTAACTCCTCAAAGGGGGTTTATATCAGGGATTATAGAACGGTTCAGGGATTAGGGCTATATAATGGTTCAGGGATTAGGGTCATATAATGGTTCAGGGCTTAGGGTTTAGGGGCATATGACCCCCATAATGGAGAATCAGATCAAAAAGAACATCGAAAGTGAAATTGGAAGCAGGGAAGATATTGGGGTTTAATGGGTTAGGGTTAAGGGGCTACATCATGTGAGCTGTACTCTAAACTCCTTAATGGGGTTATACAAGGATTATATACTGATATAGTATTTACGGTTTAGGGTCTAAGGTTTTATAGGGGATTAAACAGGGGAGTGTTACAGGTGTTATTAAGGCGGATTCTATAGGAGTTTAGACTATAGCTCATGCAGGGCTTTTAGGGTTCAAGTCTTGATGTCAGGGTTTGGGTTGCTGTGTTGAGCAGTATACCAGCAGCTTCTGGCCCGTAGGTGTGAAGATGCCACAGTCATGCCAGGTGATGCCGAAACCTGTATACTGGGGTTATATAGGGATAATGGAAAAGATAATGGAAACTACTACATTATATAAGGATTATGTAGGGGATATATTATGATCCTTCATTACGAGTGCAGGTAGCGCTAGTGCTTGGTTGTCTCTGTACCTATCTAAGGTAGACTGGATTTCATCTTAGAATTGACAGCAATAAGCACAGCAACGACAGCAAACGTGTGGCAATAAACGCTGCAGAAGCCATGGAGAACGAGACAGTCGATAAGACTTCTGAAAGGGTGTTCTGGGACCACCTTCTTGGCGAGCTTAAACACGCGAAGAAACCACTTTTCCTTCAGTACGGAATTGAACCGGATAATTTTCACTTAGAATGCCTAAGCTCTTAGTTGACATCCTAGAGCATGAATCCAGTGAGGAAAGTACTCAAGCTATAACCCGGTCACAGATTAATGTAGAGTAGAGGCCTCAACAACTTACCAACATCATAGTTCTAGATTCCTTGTATGATTATCGTACAGTATACCTCACCTCAAACCCTATTGGTAAGCCCTACGGTCCTCCATTACACTGGTGTACTGGTGCTAACCCGCAAGCCCCCAAACCTACTGGTTGTTACTAGGGAATATGTGAATATCATCCACTGGGGCATTATAGGAATACTGCAAAGAGGATATTCTGGAGGATATTATAGTATGGAAGAAGGGACTAGTGGGGTTGTTAGATTTTAAAGT